CTGGACCATATGGCAGCGTCGCCTCCATCAAATGTCACATCTGATGTGCTCCCAAGCTAGCTGGTGGCACCGCAAAGCCCCAAAGGCAGGTTTTAAAAGCAAACTCTTTCCTCAGGAAAAAAAATTGTGACAGAATCCATAACATAGTAGCCCCCCAAAAATAGCAACCTCGGGGACAATGAGGACAACCAAAAGTTTATGTAACTGATTATACAAAAGTGGTTTCTCAGATGGGAGGTCGGGGGAGAAACTTGGAGGTTTAGAGCCAGCAATTGAGCACCTACTATGTGCACACACTATTTCAGGCTCTTGGGATATAGACCTGAACAAAACAGACAGGTGCCTGTTCTCACGGCACCTAGCGGAGAGAGACAACAAAACAAAAACCAAGCACATCAACATAAAAGATCATTTCAGAGAGGGAAGAATGCTGTGAAGAAGAGAGAACGTGGAGATATGAGGATGACTGGGACGCTGGTGCAGATCAGGGAAAGCTTCTCGGAGGAGGTTGCCTTTCTGCTGAGGCTTCAAGATGAGACAGCCAGCCATGCACAGATTTGGAGGGAGAGCAGTCAGGCAGAGAGAATAGCAAGTGCAAAAGCCCTGCAAAGGGAATGAGTTTTGCATTTTCAAGAAAGAGGAAGCCGAGCTGGCTGAGGCAGCTTGGGAGAGGGGAGAATGGGAGGGGTGAGGTCGGGGGCCGGGGGGGACCTGAGCAGGAGCAGCCTCGTCCCCTGGTAAGGAGAAAGATCCCAACGCCAAGCTGAGTTTGATCGCCACGTGGACCAGAGATCTCAGCCAGGTGGATTTGCCTTTCAGTGCCTTAGTGTCTCCATCTGCACGAGAGGAGGAAAAACCCCTCTTCCTCAGGGCTGGGTCGGCCATCGAGGGAAAAGGCGGCAAGTGCTTAGCACAGACCTGCGCACAGTCAGCGTTCCATCATGCGGGCTCCCTGACACCCTCCTCCCCCGGTCCTCCTGCCAGCGAGTCAGCCCATGGCAGGATCTGAGCAGCTGCTCCCTGCAGAAATATCGCAAAACTCGTCCAGGCATTTCCAAAACATTTTCTTGGCTGAAAACCCACTAGCAGCTAAGAGGCCGAATTCTGGAGACAGCACCCTCTCCACAGTCGGTCTGATCGGCTAGACCACGAGCTCTATGATGACGGGGCCCCACACGCGTCCTCAGTACCCTGCCCAGGCCCAGCGCGTGCAGCCACTGACTGACAGTGGGCCATGGAGTCACATTGGCCGGTTCAAACCCCAGCTCTGCCACTTCCTGGCTGTGCGATGCTGGGTAAGCCACGGTTTCAACCTCCTGGGCCTCGGTTTCCCCTTCTGTAAAATGGGGCTGTATTTAGGATTACATGAGTAAGTGTAAAGTCCTCGGAACATATACAAGAGTGAGATAGTATGATCGGATCCGGGGGGACTGAGTTCTTGTTGGCTATTGTCATAATCGAGACGAGGTATCATCACTGTAGCTGTAGAGGTCCTACAAAGTTGGGGCACCCCTGGCTCAGTCCCCCTCCCCTCTCTCACTCCGTCTCCTGCCCCCCACCACCCCCCCGAGCTGGATGGGGAGCCTCTGCTTCCTTGGGGCCTGCTTGGCCCCCGGCAGCACAACGCGGTAATGGCTCGGGTCTGTCTCGCCCTGGGACCAGGAACTCGCCAGGGTCCAGTAAGATTCCTGTCGGTCTCCACGTTCCCGGGCCCCAGAGAAGCCTCTTCGATAACAATTAGTGGAATAAATAAAGCAGCCGTTGAAGAGAAGTGAAGTGACCGTCCCTCTCACGCCAGCAGCAGTCCACATTCCGCAGACAACAGAGGGGGTCTTTCCTTCCACCTTGTTTGACGTGGGTGTGTCCAGCACCCCTGCGGCCCCCGGGAAAGACGGCCACCCCTGCTGATGCTCCACTCCCTGATAAAGGCCACACCCAGCGCAGGGGCTGTGGGATCTGAGGGTCTTTTCTTCCCAGAGAAGCCAGGATTTGGAAAACCTCCGGGGCAGCCAACAGCTTTCCGCAGCCCCTTCCCCGCCAGCCTGGGGGCTAGGACCTCGGCTTCGCTGCCTCTCCCCACCCCACACACGCTCCCCAGACGATCTCAGCGGTCCCTCGGCTCCAGCCATCCGGTACTGCCGCCCTTTTAAGCTCGCTCCATCTAGCCAGCTGCCTCCCGGAAGCCCCCACAAGCCCCTCAAACTCTACACACACAAAGCATCACTGCGCCTCCCAGACTGCCCCTCCCCTGACCCTTCCAGTCGGCGACCCCACGCCCTTGACTGTTCCAGCAGAAATTCCATGCACATCCCAGCTTCCTCCCCTCCCCTGTCTCCTGCCCCCCCAACCCCAGTGCTGGTGCACACTGGTGGCCCCCACTGCATGAGGAGGGCTTTCCCCACCCGGCCCCAAGCCCTCTGCCCACGTCCTGAGCTGGAAGTGCCAGAGAATTCATGCATCCCCCCCCAACCCCACCCTCGGCAGCCCTCAAACAGCGACCCGAGAGAGTCGCCGTCCTGCCTGGGGGGGCGACTCAGATGCGCATGCCCCGCATTGGCTGCCCGAGGCCCGCAGCGGCTGGGCCCTGTGCCTTCTCCTGGCCACCTTCCTCTGCTTCGTCGTCTCCCTTCTCTACTCCTGCCTGGATTTTCTGCGATCCCCTAAATAAAGTACTTGCTGTCGCGTCCTTGTCTCAGGGGTCTCCTTCCCAAACTAGGACACTCTGGAAATTCTGCCAGCAGAGAGTGCTTGAATCCACCCACTCTGATCTCCACCTCCACAAGGGAGGCCCCCACGGCCTTTCCCAGGGATGACGGCAACAGCAAATGCTTCGTGCACATCCCGGGCGCTAAGCTGGTCTAGCGGCCACTAGTCTGGTTCCCTCCAATCCCTGCCCCACACTGCAGAGATACGTGCGCAGAGAGACAGAGAAATGGAGAGAGAGAGAGATGAGAGATACCTGATGGAGAGAGATGACAGAGAGATGATGAGATAATAGAGATAGAGAGATGATAGAGAGAGAGGCAGATAATAAAGACAAATAATAAATAGAGATAATAAATACTGGGGGGAGAGAAAGAGGGTGTGGGAGAGAAATATGACTTGGGCATGTCTCCTACCTGCTCCTACCCGGGCACCCCCTGCAGAGCTGACCCTTCTCCCCATGGCACAGTGAGCTGCGTTCCTCCCGGCTCTGGGCCTTTGTGTCTGCGGGTTCCTCTGCTGGGAAGGCTCTTTAATTGGCTGACTCCTTCTCACCCTGCAGGTCCCAGCCCAGCGGCCCCTCAGAGAGGTGACTCTAAAGGACAGCCCCTCTCCCGTTTCCTTGTTACCATCACACGTCCCTCCCTGGGCACTTGTCTGTACGGGACACGGTCGTGCGTGTTATGAGTTCACTCATCGGATGACTCCCTCTCCCCCGGCCTGGTCTCCTGCCGTCTCTCCAGCACCTGGCACGGCCTGGCACGCGGTAGGTGCCCAACAAGCACTTGCCGGGGCAGTGGCAGCTGGTTACCCACAGCCTGCTGGCCTGGCGAACGCACTGGTGGCTCCTTCACGAGCAAACGCTGCTCAGGAGATGAGCTGGGTGCCAGGGCGGGGGTGAGGGCCGTGGGAGCTGGGTTTTGTGGGCGTGTGGGGGTCTCCTGCAGTTTCCCTGGCCCTGGGCGCGCTCACTCTCGATCCCAGGGCATGCTTTAGGGCCACAGTGTCCCCCTGACTCTTGTATTCCCAGGCCTCAGGGCTTTGGCCTTCCCTCCACCCGGCTCCCCAAATGCCCCCAAGACGAGCCCCACAGCCTCTTCCCACCCGGGGTTTCCTGCCGCTCTATGGGGAGCTCCGGAGGCTCAGGCCAAGCAGGATGAGGAGGCAGACAGTCCTGCGTTTAAACCTCTTCTGGCTCCGTTTGGATTCCCCAGGAGCAAACTCTGAGATAAGAACTTGAGTGTGGGTGATGAGTAAGGAGGTGCGGAGAAGTGGGCAGAGAGGAAAGGTGGCACAGGGAAGGGAAGGGGGCTACCACTCTGATGACCACTGACTGTCCGTGCTGCAGGGAAAGTGCAGAACACAGGCCCAGGGATCCCACTCCAGGGTGAGGGAGCTGGGGTGTCTATACGGCGACACTTCCAGCCTTCTGGGGGTGGAGGTGGGGAAGCCTTCAGGCACTGAGATGCAGACACAGATGGAAGTCACTGGAGCTTCCTAAAAGACCTGAGAGATGCGACTGAGGCATTGACAGTGTCTGCTGTAACTCCTCTGCCACTGACTAAGCTGTGTGACCTTGGGCAAGTTACTCCACCTCTCTGAGCCTTAGTTTTCTCATCTGCAAAATGTGGGCAGCAATGCCAGCCGAAGAGGTTGGGGGTCAGCAAGAACATGAGATCAGGCATGAAAAGCGCTTAGGACGGGGTGGGGTGGGCAGGGAGACACATGGGGGTCCTTCAGCAGACTCAGCTGAGATTTGACCATTTTAACTCTAATCTTACGCTGGTTCTTTCCTTTTCTCTCTTGAGCAAGGCGCTTTCTCTCCTTTTACATCCCCTTGGCCTTCTGGTCCTGACATTTGTTTTTCTAATGTACACCCTAGATTCCGTCTTACAGTGAGGTGTGTGAAGTTAACGCATTCTGAGCTACCAAGAGCATCCGCAGCTCAAACGTCTCTTGTCCAGTGTCACCTCCCCGACTCAGCGAATTCTACCTAGAACCGTTCTCCCTCAGGCCAGTGGTTGACCCCTGCGCTGTGGTTTTCCTGCCCGCCTGCCTTTGAGGCACCGCAGTCCCGCCTCCTCTGGTAGCAGCCCACCCCTGCTGGAAGGGCTATGGCTGCTGCTTGCGGGGACTTGCCACGCTGAGATGCCAGCCTCAGTTTCCACATGTGTGGCAGGTGTCTGCGGGAGAACGCAGGGACGCAGCGGGGCTGGCCTAGCTCATCCTGGCCTTTCTTTCTCCTCCGACAGCCCACGAACCTGCAGCAGCAGGCTCCTGCAGACGGGGCCACTTACGGGTGGGGTATCTCTCGTGGCGGCAGTCCAAGCGAAAGTCCTCCTCCTCGCTTCCATCCCCCTTCTCGATCCTGCAGAGAAAAAAACAAAAACAAAAGCTCTTGTAAGAAAGAGCGGGCTGAGCCGGGCAGCGGCCCAGGACCTGAAAACAGGCAGTCCCTGCGCTTGGGAGAACATCTTGCAAAGTACCTTTCCTCCTGCTGCCCCGTGGGCTCTGGCAGGGACCACAGCCCTGTGAGCTGAGCATCGTTATTTCCATTCTATTAATGGAGAAACTGAGGCATCTGGAGTTGATATGACCGACCAGTGCCACGCAGCTAATAAATCTGGCAGAATAGGGACGCAAACCCATTGCTCTTGCAAAAAGATAAGCATCAATTATGTGCAAATAGTATATTACAAAAGATGTGTACAGTTTGATTTGTTTTAAAAGTTATGCATTGATATGCACGAACATTATTTGGCAGAATATACACCAAAAGGTTAGCGGTGATTATCTCCACGTACTGAAAATACGGGGGATTAAATCTGGAGCCTTCCTTCTGCTTAACTCTATTTTCCGATTTGAGAGGCAATGGTCTTTTCTGAGCCGCATAACATTTCTTAGCTAAATCAAAACGCTTCCTAAGGATAATTCCGCACGCGAACCCAGCCGGTCTTCCAGCTTCCGGCACGGTACTCCTTCCCGCCAACTGCCGTAAGAGCTTCTTGGGTGTGGTTTCCCTCCTCTCTGGCATCTCGAGATTGCTGTGGTCCCAGAGGGAGCAGCCCCTGCGGGGTGGCAGATGTAGCATGGAGCAGAGGGTGACAGGGACCTGGACAGAGGCCTCCACAGACTCTCTGACGCAGTTCCGAACCTAGACCCTCGCCCACACCCCACCAACGGCTGGGCCGGAGAATGTGTGGGGCCGTGCTCCCTCGCTGCACACGTCACTCAGCTGTAACCCCATAAATTCCAGAGCTCCACACAGCCCAGTCCCAAAGGGCAGCACGTGCACAGGGACGGAATCCAGTCCCTTGAAGTAAAAGCAACTGCGGTCGTTTTTGCATCTCCTAAAGACCCTGGAAGCGCCTCCAGGTCCCACACCTTGGCATCTTTTCTCCGCTGCTCTCTCTGCCTTTCGCTTGCCTTGCACCTGCCCGGAAACCTCTCACTCTCGACGCTCCCCGCAAACGGTCTCCAGGGCCCTCCCTGTCTTCTCACCGCTGTCCTCCTTCCTCTCATGCAAGGATGTCGCAGTCCTTTCTAGAGCAAATGCCCCATCTCTGTTCTCTGATTCTTCCTGACACCTCGTATTCCTAGCTGCACGTCCAGGGGCCTGGGCTGGAGCAGAGACATGGGGAAGGTGGCAAGCAATGCCGCAGTGTCCTCAGCAGAAGGGAGACAGCTACTCACACATGGGTAATCTTGGTCCCCTAAGGTCGTTCATTCATCCGTTCGCTTGTCCACCCGGAACGTCCCGTGGACTTACTCTGTGGTTGGCACCAGGTGCCGTGTGGAGGACGGAAATGTCTGCTTCATAGTCTCTGCCCTGAGAGAGCTTCCAGCATAGCAGGGGAGGCACGCTTGCACAGGGTTAGAAAAAGGCAGGCTCTGAGCCACGCCACACGGGGACTGTCCACGCCATCTGTACCGGGGGCCAGGCCCGTGCTTCCCAGGGAGCAAAACCTGAACACAGTTTCTGTTCACAAATATCTTCTGTGGCCTGGGTGGCCCGATGGCAAAACAAAGGCATGTGTGTTGATGCTGTAGGAAAGGCAAATTTTAGTTCAATATAAGGGAGAATGTTTTGTTTTCTTTGTCTTTTAATAGAAACATCTTGTTTATTTTCCTAATAACACAAGCTTGTTCCAAAAACAAACAAAAGAAATTCCAGTGCCATAGAGAGAGCAGAAGGTCCCCCTATAATCACATCTCTGTGTAGTGGGATCGCCACTGGTAGCAGTCTGGTGTTTATATTTTCAGAATTGATACTTTCTACCATAAATAGACTCAAATGAATACTGTTTTATAACCTGCTTTTTTTTTTTTACTTACCCAGAAATTTTCCCATATTAGTACACCTAGATCTCAGGTATCTTTTTTTCTTATAGTTATATGAAGGAATAATTAATATTGAATGTTCTATTTTTATTTTATTTTATTTTATTTTTTGTAGATAGGGTCTTGCTCTGTTGTCCAGTGTAGAGTGCACTGGCATTGTTGTAGCTCACTGCAATCCTCACACTTCTAGGCTCAGCCTCCTGAGTAGCTGGGACTACAGATGCATACCACCACACCCAGCTAATTTTTGAAAATTTTTTGGTAGAGATAGGGTCTTGCTATGTTGCTCAGGCTGGCCTTGAACTCCTGGCCTCAAGAGATCCTCCCACCTCAGCCTCTCAAAATGCTGGGATTACAGGTGTGAGCCACCATGCCTGGCCTCAATACTCTATTGATAGACATTAAAGTGTTGACTCATTTTTTCACTCTTCCAAATAATGGTGCATGTGGTGAGTTCCCCATCACCAGAGGCACTCAAGACTGGAGGATCACCAGTCATTAAGTGGTAACTGGATTCAAACATTGAATGGGCGGCCAGGCCAGGGAACTGAGCCCATCCTGAGCACCACCAGCCTGGCCACATCCAGCACCTCTGGGTCAACAGATGCCAGTCCTGCCAGGTTAGGGCGGCTTCCCACAGCCTCAACTTGGAGCCAATTCTTCGATCCACCCCCGGCTCCCAATTCTCCTGGTTCCTTGAGATTCGCCTTCCTCCGGGCCTCAAGCTGGGCACCTCCTTGGCCTCTGCTGGGAGCCTCAGCCCTGGGAAGTGGGGCCCAGGGAGTAAAACAGCTGATGTCTAAGGAGAGAACCAGCCCGGCCTGGCACGATACCTTCCCTCCCTGCTCACCCAAACGTTGCTGCCCAGACCCCAGTGCAACAGCTAGATATCAAGTAACACCTGCGGCTAGTGAGCACCTGTGTGCTCTAGGCCTTGTGCTGGGCCTGGGGGCCGCAGGGACGACCCAGAGACGCCCCCGCCCCAGGAGCTCCTGCTTGTTTTACACAAATTATCACGGGTCACATGCTAAGTTTCAGGCTGGAAGAATGTTAAGAAGGTTGGCAAGACGAATAACTGTCTAGTCCAGGGGTTGGCGAACTTCTGTAAAGGTCCGTATGGTAAATATTTGAGGCTTTGCGAGTCATATGGTCTCTCTCGC